TGTGACATCTCTCTGTAGTTTCTGGAGGGAACTGAGGCCTCCACATCCATCTGCATTGGAGAACATGCTCCTCGCTTATCCCCCTCTGAAGGGAGAGTTGAGCTTCCTGATTTATCCATATCTGGGTTTACAATCTCTAACAAAACAGCTCTGGGCCATGTCCTCACAGCTGTGACATGATTATTGTTACCAGATATTTAATCAAACCCTCCCTCCCTTTTGCTGTCCAAGGACTACAGCACTTTCTCATCACTTCTCTTTGTGCTGGAATAGGATCTCTGAGACAGCCTCTTCCAAATTTCTGTTTCAGGTCTAAGGACCTGCAATCCTTCTTTTGGATTTTTTCCCTTCCTGAGATGACTTCATACTGTGGCACTGTTTCTTCTCACCAGCCTCTGAAAACCACAACCCATCGTCAGTGATGCTGGATGTTGTGCAATGGTTTTTAAAGCTACCTCATCACTGGGGTTTTCTGGTACCTCCTCTGTTCAGGAGGAGGAATATCTGCTGTTCTGGCTCCTCCAGGCTTTCTTCTGAGCCTGGCCCAGAGACCCACCTGTGCTGCTGCTCCTCTGGGTGTATGGAGGAGGAAGAAAAGCTGAGCTCAATAGGGACACCAGATGAATCTCCATCATCCCTACTCTCCTGTGGAAACTGGATCTTCCGCTGGCCCTTTGCCAACAATAAACAGAATTTATTAAATCTGTGGCTTTGCCCACACTCTCCTCATCCCTCTGAGTCTCTGAGCTTCCAGGACAGCTGTAAGTTATTCCAGGGGAGTTTATATCCTCCCATCCTGCTGGGTTTTCCTACCTTGGCTCCACTATGTCCCAAAGGGAGGACAACACTAGCGCAGACCTTCCTCTGGAAGCCTGTTTACTAAAGGATGGGAGTAATTTTCCAGATGTGCTGGAGAGAAGTTTCTTTATCCAAGGACCTGCCCATCATGTGTTTGTATCCCTGCTAAGGCATCTTTTCCTCGCGTGGAGGATGCTGGGCAGCCAGCCCGACTCGCATGAGCCTGGACCTGCTCCCAAACACCTCTGCTGGGGCCGCGTCCGACGGGCTGCACGCTCCTGCACGCGGCACAGCCCCAGCAGCTGCGGGCAGCCGTCCCCACCCAGCACTGGGGACACCAACCAGCCCTGCCCCAGGCTCTCTGCCACCTCCCCAGCTGTTTCATGGGCGTTTCTGCTCATCTAACAATGTCCCTCCCCATCCAGGGACGTGGCGACAGGTCCCATCATCTGCAGCAATGCTCGTGACTTCCCACCCAACTCAATGTGCTCACCAAAAGGAGCTGCAGAGGCTGCCTCATGGGCTGGCAGTGGATTGCTCTTCCCAGAAGAGGTAGCCAGGAGCCAGCTTGGTTTAGGGAACAGAGTAAAATAAAGGGAAACACAAGGAGCTGAAGTGCAATAGGAAGCGAGTGGCCGAATGCGAAAGACAACAGGGGAAAGTCAATGGCAAACAGCTGTGGTGCAGATGCTGAGAAGAACCGAAAGCCTCGGCTCCGTGGGCAGCCCGTGATGACCCAGCAGATGCAGCTTGGGATGAGTAAATTGGTTTATCACCGTGGGAGAAGGTCATTTGTCACCTTGGGCAAAACCAGCGTGTCACAAATGGGAAACTGCGAATTCTCCGTGACATTGCACCGTAACACAGAGAAACCACAGACCACTCTGAGGAGAGCGGCCAGGACACTGGGGGAGCAGGCACTGGGCAGGAAGAGAAAGGTCCTGACCCAACTACATCCCATGTTTAGGCTTAAGCAAGTAAACAGTCACATTCATGTTCAAGTGCTTTAATGTTTTATTGGGCCAGGATTTAAAAAGTGTTGAAAAGTCCGTGTGAATCCAGAGCAGAGGCTCGGCTGAGAAAGAGGGAGGAACCAATCAGTCAGCACGAGAAGGCTGGAGATAAGGGATCAGTCAGGGACTGGTTTATATCACTGAGGCTTCATGCAGCTCCTCAGCATGAGGAGCCAGAAATGGCTCTGCATGGACTAAATGCAGTCAGTATCTGCTAAATCAAGCATTTAATGGGATCAGGGAGGGGCCAGTGCTGACTTCTTTGAGGAGAAAAGACACTGCACTCTCCTTGGACTTGTCAGAGCTCTAGATGGCCCATCCCAGGACAGGCAGGGTCATGCAGCAGCCAGGCTCTGTCTGTGTTGGATGGGGCTGGACATTCTCAAATGGAACACCCAGCAGTATGAGCTTGTGCTGCAGCAGAGGCTGAGGATCAATATTCTTTCCTGTGTATCTAGGAAGCATTTAGCATCCCTGAAAATCCTTAGGTGCAGAAGAGAGTCAGAGACGGGTAAGCATCTCCCACTTTTGGGGGTTTTAGTGCTTTGTGCCCAGAAACAGCTCCAAATGGGGCATGGGAGGGAATGGAGACATTCCTGGGCTTTCCTCTACACTTTCCCACATGCCACCGAGTTTTTGAGGTTGTTGCTACTCCTCCAGCACAGAGCAAGGGATGCCAAGTGTTGTCATCCTTGTGCTGCCTCCTCCTTGCACATCCAAGGCACCAACCCGTACCTGGTGTACCTGTCCTGTGCAGTGTGTGTGTCCCCCCCTCCGTGGGCTCAGGGATGCTTGCCAAGGACACAGGGCTTCCATCCATCCCTGCTCTTTTGTGGACATCCGAGCACAGAGCAGAAAGCCCCGGGCAGCAGATGTCGGCACAGCCTCCTCATTAGAGATCAGAGTCCCCCTGGAGCACGGAGGAGCTGCCCATGGGACAGGTCGGGAGCATTTTGGGCATTGTCCCCGCTCCGGTGCCGTGCCGGGCCGCGGGTTCCCACAGCTGCACCACAATGGAGGCACAACAGGCTCCTCTGGGGACAAAACCTAATCTGAGAGATACCGGCGCTGAGAAAGCTCTTCCTAAAAAAGACGCAGTGAAAAGCTCCTGGATGCCCTGTGTCCACGGATACCCGATATGCCCGCCTGAGGAATGATTACCTGCAGGCAGGCTTTGTCCGCCCTGGCTCCCCTGAATGTCACACTTGTTCCCAAATACCTGCGGGGAACAATGTGGGGCAATGCAAGGAAAAGCCTTCTCTGTCCCTCCCAGCCTGAAAGTAAATATCAGATGCCAGCGGTGAAGGGGAGGGAGGGGAATGGTGAGAGCAGAGACAAAAAGGAAAAAGCCGGGGGTTGAGAAGTGCCTCGGTGAAACTGGGTCATGGCTATAGGGTGACAGGCAGAAAAGGGTCCCTGTTCTCAGGGAGGATGAGCAGATGCCTCTGGCAGTGGCTCCTTGCTGTCATGAGCAGACAGGGCTGGAGGGAGCTGAGGAGAAGGGGAAACATGGAGTCACCTATGCCTGTCCCTCCAGCTACCGTGCACACACTTCATACAGTGAGTGAGGTGCTTGGATACTCCCATAAAATCCTTCCTAGGCTCAGAGAAGGGCAGCCACGATGAGATCCAGCAAAGATTGGAGGGCAGTGAGTGATGGTGGAGTTGGCTTCACTCTGCCACGCTCAGACCCTCCTCATGCTGCTGCCACCATGGCAAGAGACACCACCTTTGGGGACAAAGAAGCTCCATAGGGTCCCCTTCAGGATTTCCCAAGTCTGCCCAGCTTCCAGACTTTTCCCACTGCACGTGGATCTAGTAGACTCTCACAGACTGCTCAGACATGAACTGGAAATAATCTGATTTTCCATCCTTATCTTCCCTCCCTGCTGCTGATGAAGTCAAGTTCTCTTCAGCCCCCTCTTTCCTGTAGGCCACACATGGACTTTTCCTCTCTCAGCGAGTCCCTTTGTCCCTTGGAGGGATGTGTGTCCAGCTGAGTGTGCTGCTGGCCCACAGACTGGTCACTGCTTGTCCTGTGTCCTATCCCAGATGGTTGTCCCAGCATTCCCATGGTCCCTGGAGCTTGGGCAGCGCAGGCAGGAGCCAGGATTTATCAAAGACTTGCTGGAAAGGCAAACAAACACTGTCACAGATGTGGTCACTCTGCATCCTCTTCAAGCAGCCGCAGGACATCCCCATTCTCTTCCCTGCCTGAGGCTGGAAGGGAAAATCAGCTAAAAAAGCCTGTTTGTGTCAGCATGGCTGTCCTTGACCCCGGCAGCCAAGGGACACTGACCCCAGCAGCAGGTCCAGCCAGGGAAATGGGGCAGGAAAAGGTGTTTTTCTAGGAATTCAAGCTCTGACCAAACCCATTGATGTTAGAGGCAGTTTTTATCAGGCTTTGGTGCAAACTTTTAACAAATCACTGGGAACATGGGAGGAGACAGAGCAGCAGGAGTAGAGGCAAATGAGCCATAGAAACAAATCTGTCCGAGCACTAGGGACTGCAATACTCCAAGATCCTTCATTCTGTAGGTAACAGAAAAAAACAGATCTATTTCAATGAAATTGGAGAAGTGGCTCAACAGTGTGTACGATCCTAATGGGAGATCCCTTGTGAGGTCCTGGGAGCAAGGCTGGAAACGTTCCAGAATGTCTCCTTGGAGCAGTGGATTGGTAGGAAGGATCATAAAGGGAACTCCTCTGGTTTGAGCAGTGACCCACTGAACCAGCCACAGCAGGGACAACTGCTGAAACCACATTTTGGGGGGCACAGGGGTTCATGCCTTGCAAGAGTTGATGGAAAACTTCCTGCAAGGAGAAGACAACCCAAGGGGCAGCCCCATCTGCTGCCAGATGGCCACACAGTGAGTGTGACCTTACCTCACAAGATAACAAGATTTATTCTGCTCCTTTTGATAGGACTTCGATTAGGCTTTCCATGCAAGGGCACTAGGGGTTCAGAGGGCTGAGGGGACAACACAGAGTAATGAAACTCCAGATTCTCTTGGCTTCAACCAGAGATTTATGGATGGTGTTTGTTTTAGAGCAAGACTGTTGTGAACATCCAACTGCTTGTGACCAGAGCAGAAAGGCAGAATCCATCAAAACCGCCGAGCTGAGCTGAACTCAAAACAAGCCCTGAGACCCCTGGCATCTGAGGAACCCAAACAGACCGTGCTGCCAGCGCTCACAGGGCCTTGGGTCAGCTGGCAGCGCTCCCAGCGCTGTGCCTCGCGCTCCGGCCGCGATGAGCTCACCACGCACCCAGCCTGGAGAGCAGACCCCGCCTGGGAGGGCAGCCTGCGTGTCTCACATGGGCTCTGACAGCCAGACGGGGCCAGCTTTATGCTCATTCAAGAAAAATGGCCGGGCTGAGTGGATGCAGCCGCTCCTTCCTGGTGATTTTTGGGTGACAGCTTCAGCTCAGCGGGGCTTTGCCAATGGAACAGCATCAGTGTGGGAGGGGTCCCTTGGAAATAAAGCTCAGCTGGCAGTGCTGTGAGGTGGATTTGTAGCTAAGCAGCCTTTGATGGATTGAACTCATCACCACTGAGCAATTTTAACCCAACATCAGGCGAGTAATCCCTCGCCACCTGCGCATCTGAGGCGGGAGGATCAGCAGGGGCACGAGTGCTCTGTGGGCTCGCTGCCTCTGGAAGCCTTCCCACGCTGCTTTCTGCTGTGCTGACCTCATGGCTCCTATCAGCCTGTCCTCCAGCTTCCTCTCCCTGATATCTGGCTTTTGCTCCATATTTCCTCACGTGTTGAGCAATCACCTTAAGCCTCTCTCCACATTTCTAGGATTCTTGTTTGTCTCCCTGCATGGCACAGGGCTCTGACGAAGCTCTTGCTTTCCTGTCCTGCCTGCCCAGTTCCTCTGTTTACCCATGACACAAATTGGATTTGTTTGCCTTTTTTAAAATGCAAAACAACAACTCAGTACTCAGAGGGATGTTTTCTTCTCTCTTTTCTATTCATTTCTCCATGGTCTCAGCCATCTTCTCCAGGTCTTTCCACCTGCCAAGGGTTTTTCTTCTCCTCTCGCTATAGGAAATGCATAACATTTCTGCTGCAAACAGAAATTCCCATCTTGGGGGAGCCTGGAGTCTCCCAAAGTCCCTAACTTGTCCTGTACTAGCCACTATTGTTTGCAGGGAAGTAAAGACTTCGATCCCGATGGGACACAGAGGGGAAATGAAAATTGCTTTGCCACCCCCACCTCCCTGCACTCCCCCAATGACCCCTCTCCCCTCCGTGATCCCACACTCTTCCCTCACAAAGCAAATTCTTCCTGGATTATATTTTAATATCTGCAAAGCCTCAAGTTTGAAAGAAAAACAAATGTGAAACCAGCTCATGTGAAAAACAGAGAGATGGCCTCTGTCACTGCTGAGAGCCACATGGAAGGATCAGGATGGGCAGAGCTGACAGACAGGCACTGTGTCAGACCAGGGACTGGGGTACCAGGAGCTTAAACTGAACTGAGCTGGTCACACAGTGCAAGGGGAGAGGAGGATGACAACAATCTCGGGAGTTCAGCCTTCTTTGCCCACACATTTCTGATCCATAACCCCGAGCATTTATACACACTCCTGGTAAAAGCAGTGAGGGGGCACTGCAGGGTCTCAAGGCTGGGCACAGAGCACCAGTGGCAGCATGATCCTGCCTCCTGAAAAGCCTCTCTGCAGCAGCATCCCACCCTGCAGAGGCTGGGATGGAGCTGGAAACAAAGTCTTGCTGTTCCCTGAGCTCTTCTCTTTTGCATTTGACCCAGTTTGGGGAAATGACAGCCTGTGTGTGCACAGCCCTCACCAAGGGAAGCTCCAGCCCTGGCTGGCCCTGGCTCAGAGCTGGGGCTCCAGGAGCCCCTGTCAAGCCCTGGTGTGTTTTTCTGTTTTGCAAAGGGGTTGTTACGAAAGGGAAGCAAGGTGAGAGATAACGATAGAATATGGTTTCCTCTTCCCTCTCAGCTGCCAGCTTGACAGCCCAGGTCGGTGAGGAGGATGCTGCTGCTGCTGGGTGCCTGTCCTGTGGTGTGTGCAAACCTCTGCTGGCTGCTGGCCCACTTCCTATGGGGCAGGTGGCTGCGTCCCCTCCATGGGCTTGGCACGTTCCCTGCGCCCTGTTCCAGAGCAGCAGCCAACAGCCAGCTCAGGCCAGGATAAAAGCCGTGTCATTCTGAGTGCAAAAAACAGGATGGATAACTGCTTCATGATGTCCTTTGTCCACCTGAGTGGCCAACCCACACCTAGGATGCTGTTCCTAGGTGGAGATTGCATTTAATTGGCTAATTGGGCAACACTTGAAATAAACCCAAAAGAAATCCCCTTGACCACCTCCTTGGATGTGATCCTTCAAGGTCAGGGAATGGGGCATGGAGGGGACCCTTTGGGACAAAGAACAGCAGCTGTTCTGCAACAACAAGAGGAGCAGTCAGTCCGTCGAGGACGTGTAGTTCCTTCCAAGAGTACAAAACGTGTTGCCTCCACCCTTCCTGATGTAAAACTTTATGAGCCATGGGGAACAGGAATAAGGAGTTTCCTCATTTTTTGCTCCCAGATTTTGATGATGATCTCTAACCTAAGTTTTTTCCCAGTGGTATGCAGGAATACTGCTCAGTTCTCCACCACATCTTGGTTTCCCAGATCACTTGCTCGCCTCTTGGCTCATCTTTTTACAGCAGGGTAACAAGTGACACAGGCTGTACCTCACAAACTGGGACAGCTGCTCCCAGAGCACTGAGCAAGGCTAAATTTGGTTATTTTCTTCCCTTCCAGATAGGAAAATTAATTTCCCATATTTTGACTCTCTATCCTTCCTCATGTAAGTAAAGCTCTGAGGAAAGGCTCTTGGCCTCCTTGGGTGCTGTGAGCATCTTTCCAACTCCCTTGGCTGGGGATCTCCCCACTGGGCTCTGTGTATGGGGCAAGGGCCTGGGGCAGAGACACTGACTTGTACTGGCCAGCATGTCCTAATGTCACCTTCCTCAAGGAGTGAACTGAGTATCTCGCTGTGATATTGTAGCACATGGATGGAGCTGGAAATGTGCATGGGATGGGGGGTGAATTATCATCTGGGGGTTTCTCTGTGACTGCCTGATCTGAGGAGAAATGTTCCCAGCTCTCTTGTTGAGGAATTGTTCTGTCTTGTCTGTTTTAGGGATTTAAATATTCTCTTCCCAAAGGGATCATCTGTTCTTGGTTAGCTACCATGAGGCCACCCCACAGCCCTGGTGGGTTTCAATGGCTAGAAGGACTTGTCATAAAAGACTCTAAGCTCCCCAAAGGCTTTAAAAAACCCACATTTTTAATGAAGTTTAAGAATTGGATCTTAATGCTTCTGAACAACATGATCCTGGAGCAGCTGGGCTGAAACTTATTCATGTTGGAAAACCGTTGCTGCTGTGCCAATATTGCAAGAGCAAATATTGACTTTCAAATATTGCATTTGCATCTATGAAGATTTCTCCTCTCCAGCTGAGTACCGGTCCTTTTCACCTGCAGCCTATCTCCTGAATAAATTGCTGCTGTAAATTCCACTGTGTGTTAACATCCTTGTCCTCAGGGTATGGGTGTGCTTTCCAGGCTTTCATGGAAACACAAAGAGAAGATCACTCTTTGTATACAGAGAATTGCAATTTTTTCTGGAGAATTTTTGAAGTTTTTTGTTTTCTGTTTTCAGTGGTTATATGCTGATGGCTGAGCTCTGTGTGACTAATTCCTCCTCCATCTGCAGTTGGGCAAAATTATTCCTATTCTCAAGAGACCTGAAAGACAAGAGCCTTGGGTTGGGAGGGAGGCAGAGTTCAAGCACATCCCTCACCTCTGCAGCAGCTGGAAGAAAATTACTGCAGCCACAGATGTCTCAGCTCCTCTGCCCACATGGGAGTGACAGCCCAGCAGCAGCAGAGCTCCTGGGGCTGTTCTGCAGCCAGTGGAGGCTGAAGCCAGGTTCACTTTGAGATTTGTGCTCTGAACTGTGTGACAATCTCTTCACACTGACCTGAAATGAATGTTCTGAGTGCCCTGGCCCACCAGGGTACTGCTCATAATACTGCTTATAAGGCCAAGAGCTGATCTGTGACAGAGGCCACAGAGTAATTAAACTTGCCAAGTGAAAATTGCGTTGCAGTGACCCTCAGACCTCCTTAGGGGATGAGGGGTGGTACAAGCTGGGGAGCAAGGAGTAAGGAAGGCTGGTGGCTTCTGGCTGGTTGCTGTCACCAGAGGAAGATATGTGGATGGGCAGTGAGGTACCCCCAGATGTTTGTATTCACCGGAAGATGAGACATATCCAGACATATCCAGAAATTACACATCAGCTCCATCAGGGTCCAGCCTGGAGGGTGCTGCACTTCAGAGTCAGATCACATATTAAATGGCTTTCCCTGCCTAGGAAACTTCACGGCCTGGATGAAGGCTGCCTGAAGGATGCTGTAGAGCAAGCAGAGCTCTCTAAGCTGTTGGGGAAAATGGGAAGGGAGTGTTAATATGGAGCTCTGTGCACCCACCCCTATTTACAGCAGGAGGGTTGACATGACCTGCAGCTCAGTGCTGAGAGGCAGCAGAGCTGCTCTCTGTGCCTTGGGGAGACACTGGCACCCCTAAGCAAACCCTTCTCCCCCAGAGGGGAGGCGCTGGGACCCTGCTGTGTTTCTGGGTCGCTGCTGTCTCAGAGGAGCTATTCAAGGGGAAAAACACATGCACATTCCTGAGCACAATTGCTGAGCACAATGGAGCCCAGCGCCAAACGATGCTGTGGTCCAGGCGCATCCTCGGAGGAGGATGAAGCTTTACAGGAATACCTGAAAGAGGAAGACTGCGGTTAAACTTCCAGTTCCCCCAGAAGGTGGAAGACAATAAGCAGCCATCAAAAGGCATTTCCTGCCCTTCTATTGTTTCCATCTCTGAGTCCGATCATGCTTTGCACATGGTCTGAGAAAGGACAGACTTTCTAATCATAGCACCAGGTGAAGAGCTGTGCACGTGTTGTGTGTCAGGGCCTCGGAGCAGCCTCTGAGCAGCTGGATGAAGGTGTTTCTTGCAAATGTTTGTGGCTGGCAGCATTTCTCTGTCTCGCAGCTGGCCTCATCAGCCTCGAGAGCTGTCACAGTGTCCAACTCCTATCCCCAGTGCCAGCACAGCTTTAATGCACAGGAGCTGTTCCCTACCCACTCTCCAAGCACCTCTCCTCTCCAGGTTAGGGCACCAGACCTGTCCTCCATCTCTGCCACTCTTTATCTCATCCCATTTCCTGGCC